AATTGATTTTTTAAAAATAAATACGTATTTTCATCCACCCGTCAATTTGACGGATGCTCGTAGAGTTAGGTATATAAGAAACGCCCGTAAACCTAGTGTTAAAGGTAGGCAACGCATATGCAATTGCGTATGTCTATGGGCAACGATCACTTCGCTATTTCAGCGAATTCAGGTGGTCGCTCGATCATTTGCTACCTTCATATAAAAAAAAAACAAAGTCCAATGGCACTACAATCTTTAGACTGTTCAGGTAAACAATCCAAAAATATATTTTTTATCAGTTACATAATAAAAATCTTAATAATATTTATGGTTAATACTTACTCATGTAACCAATACTGGTAGTACTGCTGGAAGAACGTCTCCAGACCCTCATCAGTCTCTATATGTTGGAGAATCAGCTCGAGGTGTGAGCACCAGCGCGCGAGGAACTTCTCAATGGAAACAGGGGCTAAGGTAGTGCCGTGGATACGATTGTATTCAGATATAATATCGTTAATGCACGTGGTAGGTACACTGTTTGATATATTCACGCCCGCACCTGGAATATTCAATAATCTTACTAATATTATAAATGCGAATGTTTGGATGGATGTTTGTTTGAAGGTATCTCCAACGCTATATGGATGTTGATAAAATTTGGCATAAATGTAGAACATAGTCTGGAAGAACATATAGGCTAATTAAGTTTAATACCGTACGGACAGAATTGCGGATGATAGCTAGTATATGTACGATACGTTACCTATATGTACGATGACGTCATCACCTAAGCAGCTCGCTTTAGTGATGATGCCACCTATCTTGACTTCACGACCATAGTATATGTCATTGGGCCATTTCAGTCTGAAACAAGAAATATAGGCATTAACGATTGACTTTAAAGATCAGATACAATGCCATCGAAATTTAAAGACAACTCATTAAAAACTCGAGACAATTTTTTAACACGTTAAACGCCACTCCGGGCACCAGTGATCGGATCGCTGCTTACATTTAAGCGGCTCGTAGGGCACCTGCGACCTCAAGGTTTTTTTTTATAATATCTGCGGAACCCAACTTTTGATAGAACCCTAAACCATTATAAAATTAAATATTTTGAAGATTTGACATTATTAGTAAAAAGTTTTTTAGTGATTTTTCTATTTTCTATGGCATTTAAAGTGTTAAATATGTGTACTTATTAGTGGTAGCATCATTGTACCTGATATCCAAGTGTTCGTAGTGAGGATGTGTGCGTACTGCGCGCACTGCAGCCAGCGCGGCCGCGTGCTGCACCAACGACAGCCGCGGAGACATCTTGCGCCATACCTGGGGACATGCTACTTCTGTTATAGATAACTGTCAAGGAAAGTTTTAGGTACAGGGTGTACAGTAAACGTGTATCGAGGAAAGATCTAGATACAGCGACCCCCCGTCTACTACTAGTGTTGTACAATGTACTGTACCTGTATAGAGAGTGCGGCCTGCCCGGGGGGTGTCAGCCAGGCGTTGCCCGCGCGCCCGCTGCCCGCCAGCTGGCGCCGCGCGACGCACGCCACGCCGTGCGACAGCGACCCCCCGTCTACTACTAGTGTTGTACAATGTACTGTACCTGTATAGAGAGTGCGGCCTGCCCGGGGGGTGTCAGCCAGGCATTGCCCGCGCGCCCGCTGCCCGCCAGCTGGCGCCGCGCGACGCACGCCACGCCGTGCGACAGCGA